TTTTTACTGTGTGTGCGGGTTAGGCTATGTTGAATCGTTTTTTGCTATGGTGCTTAAAAACGTAGGATGCATTTTATTATTGAGGGCGCTACTATCAAAGAATATTTTTTTCGCTAAACTCGTAAAGTACTTGACCAACTTTGAGAATTCTTTCACCACTAGATTGTTATGGGACTGAGCCGTGGTAGCTCAGTGGTTAACGCTCGCTGTAAATATAACAGAACGCGAGTGACCCGGGTTCGATCCCCGCCGGCACCAATGAAATTGTTAATTGCAATTTTAAGTGCTGATTTACCACGTGCTCGGCGGTGAAGGAAAACATCGTGAGGAAACCTGCATGTCTGAGGAATAAGAGAAAAAAAAATAATTCGAAGACATGTGAAGTTCGTCAACACGCATTTGGGCAGCGCGGCGGACACTTCCTTGCCCTAAACCCTCTCAGAAATGAGGGGAGGCCTGAGCCCAGCAATGGGACGTATATAGGCTGTAACTTTATTTTACTTTTACATTGCTAATGAGGGCGTTAGCTGTGTGATACATTTATGTTATTACAATAATTAATTGTGAGATTAATATTTTCTAAATTAATAAAACTAAATACCTACCTAAGATGTTCAAATCCAATTATTATTTTTACAATTTAAGAATCGTATTTACACACTTTACTTACTCAGATTGATTATTATAGATAAAGAGGTAATAAATCTAAAGTAAAAGAGCTCCGCTTAAACGAAAAAACTATTTATTAAAATAAAACTAAAAGTTGAAAAAAAAAAGTGGTTCAGTGCGAGTCGGACTCGCAGGCCCATGAAGAGTTCTGTAGTAACAAGCATATATTTTAAATCGAGTCAAAATAATACTATCATTATCGCCAGCAACAAATTATTTTGTTTTTCATAGTGTTTGTATAAATAACAAAGTTGTTTTTGCGGTTATTTAAAATGTGCTACTTGTGTCTAAAAAAAGGACTATTATACATTATAGGGGTTCCTGTGGTTTATTCATTACCAAAGAGAAATAACTTATTGCACAAAATGGGTTTTTATCCATTTCAAGTCATCAAAAGCGGTAGTCAACCGTTAAAAACTAAAACAACCGTTGTTATAGGCTCGGTTGAATTCATTGACAACCTTCACATTTATAGTTATGATAATTAAACAAGCGAATTACTAGCTGATTTACCAAGAATTCTTTAGAGTATAACAAAACGCTACTGCACAAGTTAACTGTTATTCTTATCTGTTTTTAACATAACATTTAAAATGGAATCATGTTATGATAATTCAAGAAGTTAATTTCTAGCCGATTTACCACGAGTTCTCTAAAGCATAACAAAACAATACAGCACAAGCTAACTGTTCCTAAAAATACATTTGAAATAGAATTTCAATAAATAAAGGAAATTATATTTTAAAAAACGTGCAGAACTTAAAACGCGTCAAAGATTATTCTTTTCATGATATTGTTAATCGAATAAAAATCGATATCGTTTCATAGATTTTATGACAGTTAAGTGGCAACATCGAATCTGACATGTAGGCCTCTGTCACTGTTATGTCACAAGAATTTAATTGCGTGTTTTTGTTTTGTTGGAAAATGCAATTGTTGATCTCTCAACAATTGGTTCGAACACAGCAGGTAAATAGTTGGTACATATCACGAAGTGGCATGTTTTCCTCTAAGAAATGCTATATAACTGAGTTTACTTGAATAATATCAATATAATAATTGTAGCTTCTTTATTAGGTACAAGTTTCGAGTACAGTGAACGTGTAGTGTGCCACTCGCAAAATGCACCAATAGTTCGTCTTGAACATGTATACATCAGCTGTGGCACTGACACTTATAAGAATAAGATCACACACATTGTTTGGGTTCGATTCTCCACGTGAGGAACAATTTGTGCCACGTGAGTTAAGATAAGGTAAGATGTTTAGCATTTTTCAATATATTAAATGTGATCCTCATATCTGATAATTATACATGTTTTTACACTGATTGTATATCAACTCAAGAACTTGTTTTATTTTTTCACATCTGCACTAGCTATATCTGACAAACATACTAGCTTATTTATGAGATTGACCATTTTTATCAACTACCAAGAAAGGAGACAGTTGATTTTTCATTGTTTTTGGACTGCTGGTAGTCTGTCAGGCCTTAATTGTTAAATAATATAGGGCATTAAATCCGTCCTTGTCCAGTAACATTTAACTTGATAAATATTTTATTTATATTTGAGTTTGAAATAAACAAATCTATTTTATTTTTTCACTTTGACTTCATTTTTTGTATTTTACATTATTTCAGTTGCCGTTGTCATGCTGTGTATATCATAATTGCTGGCAATGAACTGATAGAACAGCATCACGTTCAACTGCAGAATGGGAACCATCTGAATCATCTAGTCAGTCCTTGTTGCAATCTGAAGTGAGTAATGTATTGCACCCAGAACAACAAAGCTTAGATCATACATCACACAGTGTACTGCTAACTAATTATTTAAAAGCACAATGTTTTTTACCTGGTTGTAACAGTTCCATCAGCATTGCGAGTATGTCTCTTTTGTGATTAACTACATTTTGCGATAACAAACATACATAGTGACAATTACTATGTATGTGTGTTATACGTGGTAGAGCCATGCTGCACTTATATTAGAAGTATAGTTGTAGCATGAATGGGTCGGCACGACTGAGGAAGGACCACACTCTCACAGAATACCAGCGTGAAATAGTAGCTTAATGCTGCTGTGTTTTGTATGGTGAGTGTAGACAACCGGAGACCCTTTTTACTGGAAACGAGAAAATGATCTTAGTGAGGATAGATGTGGATGTCTAAGGGTCGCAGGAATGTCTCCAGCAGATGGTGAATCTCAGTTAATGACAAGATATGCTAATAAATCCAGAGCTGTGACTATGTGTCGATATGGGTAGTAGAGGTGGTAAATGACATTTTAAAAACTGAATTTAAAATATTTCATCAAAATTACTTTAACAGGGCTTCTACACATTTGATGATCTGATGACTGCTGTGGCTGCTGCTATAATTAGTAAATTCCACACAAAAATAAGGGACGGGAATATGGAGACAAATAATGATTTGTCTGAGTATGCTAGGGAAAACAATCTAAATAGAGCTAGGGCAAGCAGACTTTAGAAATATAAATGTAGACTTTAAAATGTTAGGGAATTTCCTGTTTTAACTTACAGCGACTTAATATTAATTACTTATGTCACATACCAATTAAAGCAAGCTCGCTACTATTATGGTGAGCATATAAGATTTAATGGTTGCTACCGGATAGAACTCTGTAATAACTAGAGGAGCAGCATTATGGAAGGAATAAACTTAAGCCCTAGCTGATCTTTACTTAGGGCTAGAATTGCAAGTCATCACCATTAGTCGTAAAGTGTATTTTATATATATTTTAATTAGTGGCAATGGTTCTGGTAGAAGTGCAATTAAAAAGTACTGTCGGCCGTCGAACTGTTGGATGCTGTGCCCATGTTATGACAGTAATATGGTATTTGGGTTGGCACGGCATCAAGACTAATATTTTGCTTCCTGCTCAGTTCCTGAATGATGTATTGATGTGTAAATTAGAGGCAAATAATTCCTTAGCTTTCCTAGATGCGTTAGTCATCCAAAATTCTAACAACACCATAGGTCACACTGTGTATAGAAAACAATGAATCTCACAATCAACCTTCACAGTTAGTTACCGTGAACAAATCTTTGTTACAGAGAGCACAAGGGATCTGTGGCAGCAAACATCTGGCTGTCGAGCTTCAGCACGTCAAGCAGGTTCTGCACGTCAACAAACTTCGGGCCCGCGCTTACGTCACAGTGACCGAGTGAAGCCGGCCACAGTAAAGCATGTGCAGTACTAGCATTTGTCAGGGGTGTCACAGACAAGATTGGCTACATCTTGAAGCGTGACGTCGCTGACGTGAAGCATCAAAGTTCAGGGAAGTTTGCAGTTTGTGATCATATTCTGGACGGGCCCAACTAGCTAGACATCAAAAAAAGATTTGATAGACCACAAATCCTCTAAAAGGACGATACATGAGACTATTGAAATAAAAAAATTCTTTATTCAATAGAGAAGGAGGCTTGGTACTACCACCTGCTTAGGACCCTGTAATTAATGAAATTAAAATTAAACCCAAGCATACCACTGCAAGACTTCAAGACACAGTAAGTTCATTCTGTAGATCGGACCATAAATAAAAATTTCAAATATGAAGGTACTCCGGGTTAACACTGACATTGGGACGTCAGTCATCTCAGTCTGCCGTAACCATGGGTGCTGGAAAGCACCCGAAACGTCTGGAATTAAAAATCAAAGAAATAAAATGCGATAAAATCGATAAAAATAGTTGTTAAAAAAACTGCATTTGTGAAAATAAAAACTTCTATATTTTCAAAACCCCGATGTTTTTTAAAGCAATTCCTTTACCATTTCATTGTTTTAATTGCATATTATCATATCTATATGCTTTTATATGTGGGCACTCATGGCCGAAGTGTCTATGAAGAGTGGGCATTCCCCTTTCGGGACGGAAGGTAAAAATAATCGAGGATTTGGTTTTCATATCCGGACAACTAGAATGACTACAAAATATAGGTTTCTTTGTAGCCTTTTGTGCTTTATTGAGAGCCGTGGTAGCTCAGACGATCAACGCTAACTGTAAATATAGTATGCGAGTAATGCGAGAAATTGTGACTGTAACTTTACTTTATTTTTGCGCTTTATAATTATCCGGGTCTGATCTCATAAACGAATAAGTTTTCATCCAAACATTGTAAAAACTGAATTTTTTTCATTTTAGGCAAATTAACCCTTTATAAGGCATAAGCATCTAGGGGTGGATAAGTAAAACTGTTGATGGTTTTAGACTATTTTTATTATGGTTTTTCACAAAATGCAAATAAGAAATTCAAAAATTTAAAAAAACACGGTGGTAAATATTTTCCCGCTGCCCGTGACGCCTTAACTAGCCTTTCCTATGAAATGCAGTAAAACATGGTGTTATGCAGAGCGGAACTTTGCATTTTTCACATATAACTTTCGATCTTTTGTCTTTTTCTTTTGTGCTACACATTCTGCAACGTTTATATGAAGGCGATTCAACGGGCATATGGTCTCCAACGTTGGTGAAACGAACTTCCTCTGCGACAACATGCACTGCCTTTTGGCGATTCTCAGAAGCAATTTTTTTTCTGCAGATATAGTTGACTAAACTACCAGATCGTCGTTTTCTACTGGAAAACCCACTGATCAGTCCTCTAGCGACAGAGACTCGAAATTCAAGATTGCTTAGTTTTGTCGCATTCTTATTTTGGCAATATAACAAGTATGCATTTGTTATACTTGTATCTAAAAGGAAAAAGAATATTCGGACCCACCATCTCCTACTTCTTCTGCCTACTGAATAGGTACTTTTTATCTGATCAAAGTGATCAACGCCTCCCATCCTTTTAGTATATTCCTTTATTGCTAACGGGCAGTTGATTTCTTGTTTTGTGCCGTCTTTCTGAGTCCGTAAGACAGTGGTTTTGCCAACTTTTGGATGGAATGCATTACTCAATAGGAGAACCTCTTTGGTATCTTGCCAAACTAAGAAAGATACATTTCCCTTGACTCTCCATTTATATTGTCCTTTTGCAAGCTTCTGATTCGTTTTTACAAGTACAGGCAGATGTTTTCTGTGTCTTCGTACAGTTCCTGTAGCATAAATGCCATTTTCATATAGATATTGCATTAGAGTGTAGTCACAGAAGAAATTGTCAAATGTAATAATAATATGATATTCCTCCAGTGCTTTATTTATCAGCTTTTCAGTCAACATCTTCACAACTTTGGATCCTAGTCCTTCCTCTGTTCCGGTTTTTGATTTTCCAGTGTATATGTAGAATTCATAGAGATACCCAGTTTTACTGTCACAGCGACACCATACCTTGTAACCTCTTTTTATGGGCTTTAGAGGCATATACTGTTTCATGGAAGACCGGCCTTTGAAGAGAATCATCGATTCATCAATACTTTGGGATGAGGAGTCTTTGGCATTTTTCTGACATGCCTGAGTGATAAGATCCAATAATGTGCGTATTTTGTAAAGTTTGTCATAGTTCTCGCTTGTCTTATCTGGTATCTGTGTATTATCATTCACGTGCAGATTTCGCAATATCTTCTTGAATCGCTTTACGGTCATAGTCTCTGCTATTTCATCTACCCTGAAACCAGGGTCGGAAGACCAATAAAGGTCAATAGAAGGCAGAATATTGTATCCCATTATTATAAAAATCCCTACAAAGGCCTTCAGTTCTTTTTTATCTAATTGTGTCCATCCTTCATCTTTCCTTTGCTCTGCATATAAGTTTGTTTGATATATTATCAAATCGTAGACTTCATCAGTGAAGAATTTTTCAAATACAGTTACAGGTCTAGTACGGCTGCTAAACATAATTGCCGGTTCCATCGGAATTTCATCGTAAACGCTAGGACTTGGCCGATCAGTTGTCCACATAGTTTTTTTTCCATGTTTCCTCTTCGCCGTCTGAATCATCTGTTTCCGAATCTGAGTTAGTATTTGCTACTGGTGATTGTGGTTGTCGCCGTAAGGTCTGTTGAGTGCCAGAAGTACTGGGTGCATTTTGGATTATTCTTGCCCGCCTAAGCCGGTCACTGTTGGTTGGTTGAGGTGATGGACTAGGTTGGTTTTCAACAGACGCATTACTTATATTACTAATAAGACTATCAGGTGGATCAGGTGTGGGTGCTAGAATTCCATCATGAGGCTCATCAAGGCTCTCTAAAATTCTTTGAAGTTTCACTGTACTGTACTGCACATCTTCTTCATCGGATTCCAAATTATCATCTGACACATCGGGATCATCAGGTAAACCAAAAATCTCTTCTAATGCACAAGCTATTTCCAAGTCATTCAGTGCCTTTTCATTCATTTTCAAAATATAAATCTGTAACAACCAATACATACTGTCAGCTCCACGGGCAAAGGGAACATTTTTACCACCACAAAAAGCCCCTACTAACAAAATCTGCAAAATGTAGAATTGAAAATATGCTTGAATATCAATGAAATATACAATAAGCTTTAGAAATAATAACAACTTACCGTTCATGAGTCGCAGATATAAAAGATTTATAAAGATTTTAGAAGTCGTACCGAAACACACCCGATTTCAGTCTTCCAAACGTCACAGTGTAAAATCTAAAATGGCGACGTGTCATTACCATAGATGTAAAATGTTGACCGGATATCCATAAAAATGTTGCCAATAGGAAAAAAATCTTTCCCTAAAATTTGCTTAACTAATAATGTGAAAATTAGTGGTGGGAAATATATTCCCGCTGCCTTAAAAAAGGGTTAAAACATTTTTGAACTATTTGTTATTTTTTTTGCAGTCCCTGAATTTTTCAAATCACTCGTTTTAATATAATTCTGTTTAAAACTTTTGTGTTTTTTTTTTCGACTGGTGAGACAATGTCGTAGTAAAAATATTTTAATGTGGTAGTAGCTAACAGATATAATCATTTTTGCTGTCAAAATTATGGAATAGTTATTTAAGTTAGTATAGTTATTTATAGTTAGTTAAGTATAGAATAACAAGGTTAGTGAAAATCGGGACATTTGGCGTCCCGATCAAGGGTGAATCGGGACGTGTCACTAGACCCTTGAAAATCGGGACGTCCCGCGCAAATCGGGACACCTGGCAACACTAGCGGGGATCGAGCCCGGATTGTTCGCGTTTACGGCGAGCACTACGCCCTTGAGCTACTCAACTCAAGCACGGCTCATATGTTTTATATCTGGGGGCACGGTAGTGCCCCCGCCATGTCGACCAAAACAGCGGCTCGGCCGTATAATCATTGGGTGCATTTGGCAGAAAAAAGCGCTAGCAAGCGCTTGTAAGCAAAATGGCGATCGTAAGCGGTAAGCGCTGTCAAATCGTAAGTAGCTATTTTCCTCCAGGACACGATGTTAGTTTTAACCGGGGAATCTAACCTAATTTAAATATATGTTTGTAAAGTATTCATATTAAAAACTTACCAATCATGAGTTTTTAATAGCATTTATGTTTATTCATATCATTATATTACTTAAAACTAATATTGCACAAAACAACTTATAAACTCTACTTCAAAACAAATTAAATAAGCAAAATGGCGGATTGTGTCAGCGCTACTGAAGTAGCAATCGTGTCCTGGCCGAAAACTATTTTAGCGCTTATAAGCGCTTGCTAGCGCTTTTTTCTACCAAACGCACCCATTGCGAGACTTGGTTATTTTACAAGTTATGTTTTTGATGGCATGTCTTTGTTTAATCATAACGTTATCTCCACACTAGGAATTTTTCCTAAGTACATCGTTGGGGCAGTTTAAATACATTAATTTCACAAGGACAAACATCCAGACCTGGAACAATTATTTGTAGGTAATACAAATTTTTGTTCCATGTGGGATTCGAACCTGCGGCGCTCAGCGCTACAACTCATTACCAAGTCACTCCGCCACGGAGCCAAAGGTGAAAGCCAACGATTTTGTATTTTTACTTGATCCGAATTGCTTACGTTCATTACTTACTCATTTCTAAAAAAATATATATGAAATGAAAAATTGCCACCATTACATCATTTAATATTTAAATATTACAATCATAAACATATTTCAAAATTACTTACTACCAAAACTATCGCTTATAAAAGTCTGAATCGTTTAAAATGCTTGATGGTGCTATAGGTATCTAGTTATAGTATGGTGTAGTATAGCCCTATCGGTGTATCAACGCGATCGCGCGGTGTCGGTGAGAAAAAGTAATACGTCCCGTCGTTGGGATTACCCGGAGCGTACTAAATCGAACGGCGTCTGCACATGAGGTTTTATAGTATTTTTAAAATAATTATATAAAATAATTGACAAAATAAAACGAGCTAAAAATTTTATTGCATATTTAACATTACATGTATTTTGATAAAGTAATTAAAATAGATATGTTTATAAGCAAATACATGGAAAAAATTACATTGAAGTAGACAGTTTTGGTGATAAATTATTTTATAATATTAAATCGAAATATTTTCGTAATTTAGGTTTTGCTATACACTAAAAGACTATATATTCCATTATAATAACGCTTAAAATAAAGTATTTTAGCTTATAATAATGGTTGTATTCAACCTGAAAGATAACTCTGATGCATATTTTCGTAAAACACTGTGAAGGGATTGTCATCGCCCTAAAAAACCGTCATTAAAAACTATGATTTTGCATTGCTATGTACTAAATAAAGACTTCATCTTTCTAAAGCCCTAATTTTCAGCAAATAATCTCCTCACGTCGTTACGATATCGCCTTTGGAAAAACCATAAAACATGTAGTTTTCGACGCGAAACGCATATGCCCTCTTAAACTTTCTTAATTTTGTCACTCACTGACTGACCGATCATCAAAACTCTAAGGCACTTCTAGCAGACATAGAAGCTTCAAATTTAGAATTCAATTAGTGTTTAGAGTATAAATCAAGGAAAAACTAAAACATTTGTTAATTTCTGTCCAGTTTTCTAGATACACTAACTGCATAAATAACTTTGTAATCCCTTATACATATATAGAATTACAAAGTTACATTTGCAGTGAATGAACCAGTGTACTTGTATATGTATTACAGGTGTACATAGGTACGTTGTTGGTACTCAAGAAGTAGAAGGTACTGGAAAGGTAAAAAATTAAGACTATCTTATATACAAAAAGAAATGAGATGCAATTAAAAACATAACTTGTAAAAAAAAAAACAAGTCTCGCAACTCAGTTCTTCTACCGTAAAAAGTTGTGAGATCCATGTAATACCAAGTCGGTTAATTTATTCAGTTCCTACTTAAGGGTCCTTCTGTTTTAAGTTATTACGTAATTACCTAACCTAACAACATTTTATAGTGACCATATCAATTTTAAAAGTCTTTTATATTTTAAATATATAGATTGACTTGGCAATCGCATTAAGCAATCTAATTTAATATAATACGTATTACTTGTGAGATACATTGTGGTTTCATGCGATGGCCAAGTCAATCTATATATTTAAAACATAAAAGACTTTTAACATTGATATGGTCACTATAAAATGTTGTTAGGTTAGCTAATTACGTAATAACTTAAAACAGAAGGACCCTTAAGTAGGAACTGAATAAATTAACCGACTTGGTATTACATGGATCTCACAACTTTTTACGGTAGAAGAACTGAGTTGCGAGACTTGTTTTTTTTTTACAAGTTATGTTTTTAATTGCATTCATTTTTTTCGAACGTGTGTACACCAAAAGAAATATACTCGACTACTGACGAAATACTGTCTGCTTGTAAATAGTAAGAGTCAGTTTTCGGCGCCAGCACTGACGACAACTACTAACCCTGTGTAAATTAATAAAAATGTGCCATTACTGAAATAGCTTGCCTACATATACCTTTTTTAAATATACAGATCTTTGTTTTAGTCATTGAAATCTCCAAACCTAAATCTATGAGCAACCATACATTTTATTTAAGGACAATTGTAATTCAGTGGAAGTATCATTTAGATTTTTACCGGAAGTATATAACATATAATCATCAGCATACTGAGAAATACATACATTAGGATTAATTTGTTTACAGATATGAATAGTTGCAATATTAAATAGTAGTGGAGCGATAGGGTCACCCTGAGCAATTCCTCAACCTGTAGATCTAGATAAAATAACATTGTCCACCTGGACACTTAAGTATCGTTCCTTTAAGAAGGTCCATAAATATTTACAAACTTTTGAACCAGCACCTAATCGATCCAAATTTACCAACATAGCCGTAATATCTACGTTATTGTACGCATTCTCTACATCAATAAGGCAACCTATTGTGATTTGATCTTTTGAAAATCCCAATTGTATTCTACTGACTAAATTACTAAGATTATCCAGGCATGATTTTGTTTTCCTAAATCCAGTAGTCTCTTCGTAAAATAGATTTTCATTTTCCATCAACCATTCCAATCTATTTCTCAACATAGCATGGAAGATTTTACTCAGGCAAGACATAAGTGAAATAGGTCGAAGTGATGATAAAGTTGAAGTGTCACGCCCTGTTTTTGGGATTGGTATAATACGTATTTCTCACCATTGGAATGGTACAAAACTTAGAGGAGTAATACAAATTAAATAGTTTGAGTAAAATAATACATGCGTTTTTGGGAAGATGTTTGATCATGGAATAGGATATATTATCCACACCTGGAGAAGTATCTTTTGTTTTAAAACAGCACGTTAGTTCGCTCATTGAAAAAGTTACGAAATGAAAAAGCAGGGTCTTTTGGACAAACAAAGTCTGGAGTCAAACTGTGTAAAAGCTCATTTGTAATTGTTAGATCAACATAACTCCTATTTGTATTAGAACACCCATAACCTTTTAACCACTTAATTTTTTTGCCACATGCCGTCTACAGTAATAGACTCATCAATCGAAGAGCAAAAATTAGACAAAGATTTTCTAGTTGCCTTTCTAATTAGCAGTTGTGAAATTCTAATTTTATCTTTTAATATATCTAAGTTATCAGGAGTAGGGTTTTCCTAAATAAAGCAAGAGCTAGGCGTCTTTCTGCAACAGATTTAGATAAGTTGGTATTCCAATATACTTTAGGAGAAAAATGTTGTGAGGGATCTTGGCTGGTTCTGTAAAAAGGAATATGAGCATCAGCGGCTTCATTGACCATATTAAGAAATAAATCGTAATTTTTCTACGGATCATTATTGATAAAAGCAAAACTTGAAAATTTATATTCTAAATATGAGCTATATCCATCCCAGTTTGCTTTCTTATAGTTCCTTTTCTTTAGAAATTGATGGTGACTATTGTGATATGATAAATTAATCTTAACAATCAAATGATCACTACCCAATGACTCATTAGTAACCTTCCAATCTAACTGCATCGCTAAATCTTAAGAAGCAATAGAAATGTCAGGGGATGACTCCTGTACTATACCGTTTACTAATTTAACGCGAGTAGCTGCATCATCATTCAAGGAAACAAAATTATTTTCAATTAAAGAGTCAAAAATATTCGTGCCTCTTAAATCAGCCTTGCAAGACCAGCTTGGATGATGCCCATTGAAGTCCCCAAGAATCAATGTTTTGTTAGTTTAAAAGAAAATATTTCATCCCAGTGAGATCTTCTGAGAATTTCTTCTATCATTCTGAGAAGTTCGTATGGTAGGTGGACAATATATAGAGAGTATGTAATCTATATGTGAATACAAATTATTTCAATTCCGGGATTAGAAATTTGGATAGATATCAGTCAAGTCTTTAAAGACGTGTGTGAACAAATAGCAACCCCACCATATGAATCATCGGAATCGTCAATCGGTCCTTGCCGTAAATATTGTAACCACTTATTTTAAACATAACTTCAGCATTCAACCATGTTTCACAAATGGCAGCAATATGAATTTTCTCGCTGTTTAACAGCTGGCCGAATTCCGTGCATTTGGGCCTAATACTTTGTGAGTTCCACTGAAAAATGTTTATGTTATAATTACTATTCATTATTGACTAAAAAACTTTTAAAAGGCAAATCCCAAATGCACTGCCCCACCATCGGTACTAACCATTCAATAATTAATGACATTCCTTGCATCATTTTGTTCTTAAGTTGTTCTTGTGAATTTGTAAATATAGCATATAACTTAGAAAGTAACTGCCTAATATTAAAAGTTGATTTAAGCTTCTCTCTTTTTTCTCTTTTCTTGATTGGAGCTCACTTTCTATATCATCATCATTATTATTAATTACTTCTTCTGATTCTGTAGATATATCGTTTTCAAACACTTCATTCTGATTTTGCTTCTTTTTCCTTTTTCTCTTTGTACTTATAGTTTTTTCTTGTAAAGTTTGCGAAACCTCCATAGCATCCGATTGTGATGTTAATGGTATTGATTTAGTGTTAGAAGTAATTTCAGAACGTAAGCGCGGTACCGATCGAGTAACGTTTGCGTAAGACATTACCCCATCTTCATTTTGTGAGACACAGGTATGGGTTCAGGTTCATATTATTATATAAAGGTGTGTTTGGGTTGAGATGTCTTTGAGCCGTCTTTAATATAGTTGTTTCTTGTTCTACTTGTACAGGTTGAGATTCTGGAAGAATATATATTTGTAAGGCCTTTTTATATGAGCAATTGAATTCAGCCATTAAACTCCTTAGACGCTTTTCTTTTATAAATATAAGACAAGATCTATCCAACGACATGTGACTTTCGATACAGTTAATACATCTAAATGTTGTGATCTCACAATTAGCATGCCCCTTTCCATACTTAGGGCTTACAATCTTTTTAGAGGGGCAAACACGTAGGCTATGACCGAACCTCTAACACCTTGAACATTGAGTGACTGGGAAGACTTAGGGGTCGACATTAATCTTCATGCCATAAATGTATACTGATGCTGGCAATGATGAGCCCTTAAATTGCAACTGTATTGATTCACTATCTTCCCATCCCTTTCCATCCGTTTTTCTGCGCTTTAAGCGTTTTACACCTATTAGCTCGCAATCACTTGAAATTACCTCCAGCATTTCTTTTTCGGTCATCTCCAGCTCAATATCCTTAATGACACCGTATGAAAAAGCAGCCTCTAATGGCTTTTGAAATCTCCATCCTAACTCCTTCAAAGGTGTACAGTTCATCAGGTCATCAGCACTCACATTCAAACTGCACAAATACTTTATACGCATTCACTTATTTCACACGGCTGATATGCTTAATATTATTGGTTTTTAAAAGTTTTGCAAGTGCAAAGTATTTAGGTAATTTTTCGAAGCAATTAATATATACATCAACTTTCTGTCCCACTCTCTTCCCATTTCTTGAAACCGTACTCCAACTTTCTTCCTCATCGTCTTCTCTGCATCTCTTACTACTAATAGGTCTAACCTCATCGTAAATCATTGCTTGACATTGAGCGGATTTCTCTGGTAAACAGATCTCCGTTTCCTGTTCATTGTTTTCAATTAGAATAGAATTCATCGCCTCCTCTTCTGAAATTTGATTTTCATCCATGGTGAATTAAAGCATAGTACACCACGCAGTCACGTTGTTAACCGCCGAAGGAAATATATATTACAAAATTATATTATTTTAATTAAAATATAAAATATAAGATAGTTGTCACCTGTCACTTTTACTTTTTTATAACTACCAGAAAGTTGTAAGCGCCACTTCAAAAAGTTTAAAATTTTGACTTTGACGTCTATTTATATTTGGGAAACATGCAAATTTGTAAAAAACCACCCAGAACTATTTACCAAATGAAGTGAAACAAATTACAAATACTCAATTAGACCAAATAAAAATAGGCTACTATTGCTGAAATCTACTCTTGCTTTGCATAGCTCTAGTCCCTACTGTTTGGCAGTAAAATTTTTTAATAACCCTCTAAATGACATAAAAAATGTAACGAGTACTACATTATTTTTATCCAAATTAAAGTTATATTTAATTGAAAAATGTTTCACTTTCACAGACAACTTTTGCCTGTGCCTATCTAATTTAATTTAATTTTTTTTATTCAATTATTATTTTTTTACTTGACATTGTGATTATTAATTTAGTTAAATTTACAGAATTTTAAAATAATATAATCTAGTAATGTAATTTATTAATGAAATCTAATTTGTATTTTAAAAATAGTATTTAATATTTTTATAATTGCTACGCACAAACTGGGTTCAAATGCGGACTATTTTAAAAAAAAAATTACATCTATTGTTATCATTTGATTGCAGTAAAGATTATGATTATCTCAAAATCTACCAGATGATTTTCAGCATCATATCAAACCCCCATTGTCATAAGAGCGTAAGAATTTTCTTCTGTGCTTCACTTGGCCTACACCTCCCCCGACATATAAAATATTTTGAGTCGATCTCTGTATATTTTGGTTAGATCGATTTCGAAATCGATACACAACGTGCAAACCGGCTACATCTCTTAAAAACTTTCAAAAAGGAAGGTCAGCTACGCCGTTGTCGTCCAGTTGTGACAGTGACATCATCACAATGTAGAGTAGTGTTGTGGTTTACTATTATTTTATTGTTATTGTTAGTTTTTATTTATGTACAAAGTACATATATAAAAAGAGTGGAAGACAGCACAAGATTAAATAAAACATACCAGATTATAAAGACTCATTTATTGCATAAAAAACCAACAAAATCAAGTTATTTTGTGTTATCGATATATCAACTCTGGGCAACACTATATTTTTTGTAGGTATTTTTGTTTAATTTTCGCTTTGGTGTACAGGACACGGTAATGCGTTTTTGGTGTGGCGCTCAAAAGGTTAAATCAGACTCCATAATGAGGATATCCGCAGTAGAACCAGAGTAACCGAAATAATCCAATGGAGTAGTAAGCCTAAATAATGGGCCAGACATCTAGTTCGAAGAACTGATAACCGATGTGAAAAAAAGATTTTCAAACTACAGTTTCATATTGGTGAGTAGTGTAGGGTGACCCTCGTCCTCCCTCATTCAATGAAGTGACAACCTGATAAGAGATGCAACTACTAACTAACGAGATAGAACTAACTACTATCACAACTGCTTTGTGGAATTCTTGGGGGAAGCCCATGTCTAGCTGTGATCTTCTCATCTCTCGCTAAAATGATGATGATGAAGGCTAAACACAAAAGAAGATGTAGCTATGATAATAGAAATAATTCTTTGAGTATTCTACCTTATATAACATACCTATAAAAGAACAACAATATACCTATAAAATAACACAAATATAAAAGAATTAGAATATACATACCTATCTTATATTCTATTTATTTCATTTGTGGCTCTATTTCATGTAAAAATGTATTGACTTGTTGACTCCTAGGTTTATCTTAATTATTTAAGTTCTATTTATATTAACAGGTATATATTTGTAGAAAAAAGAACTTGTTGTTTTCTAAGGTTATTTACTACATTTTTTTGCATTTTATTCCCTTTAAATAATTGAAACAAACACTCTTAGTCAAGTTTTAAAAACATTATTGTAACCTGTTTAATTGCAATATAATATTAAGCTTCTCAATTCTCCAATGACTCCTTAGTTTTTTGTTCTAAAGTGTCATAAATGTCTTTATTAGAACACTGATAATTTTCAACACTTTCATTGGAACTGATCACATTTGAATGTATACTTTTCTTAAATATAAACTGAAAATAATAATATTTAATTTTAATTAGGTAAGTAATAACGCAACGTTATTAAAAAAATTATTTACCTATTGATAAAACATGTATTTGCATAACTACATACCATTGCTATTTATTATTTCCTTATAATGAAATAACATTTATACTAAATTTAAATACATTTCAAAATTATAAATTACGCATAATTAAAAAATAACTCGACCACAACATACCTTACAAAGTAATGGGTTTTCATACAACCATACACAAAAGACAGAAAAAACAGTTACAGTTAATGAAACTAACAAATAAATTGAAGTATATTTGTAAGCATTTAGAAAAATGTCGTATCCACAATAATTATTGAACATATTTCGCATTTTTTAAAATGAATTTGTTGAGATAACTTTTGTGCATCTATTGGCAAACAAACTTTTTTTGTATGTAATCCAAAGAGTAGAGCTCTGTGGAGTAGAGTAATATAATACAGAAAATGTATAATTCTAATTATGTAAATGCTATAATTCCAAAGAGTATTTAAATCACCACTGACAGATTATATCCATAGATTACTCTTTGAGTATTCAACCAACTGGAAAGGCCATCCTAAACAAAAATTCTGTCAAGATCAGGGGGGCGCAAGAAAACCAAACAACTGTAAACTTAACTACAAATGCAAAATTAAATCGTGTCACTATAAACGCACACTACAACATTTGTGTTTGTGTTCATCGCGTTTACGCCCACCATCAAATTGAACACGTGTCGATACACTGATGGCGCTGGCTGGCTAAATGCGTAAGCAACGTAAGGCGTGGATTATATCGATGTTTTTTATCGATAAACATATATAGATAAACAATACCTAGGTGTTATTTGAAATTCTTTTTTTTTAAAGTATTTAGAATTTAGTTCTTCGGAAAAAAACTTATGAAATTATTGAAAATAAGTTTATTATATTGCTACAGGTTTATTTTACATTATGCAAGATAAAATTTTAAACATTTAACAAATCGAAATAGGTTTAGTTAACTTATTTTAAAAATCAGATTTTTGGAAAAGAAAAGTCCTATCAGTTTATCGTCTTAGATGGTGTTAACCAAGTTTTGTTTTTATTATAAAGCTTCAATCACAAAACCGCTAATTAAAAATAGTTGTTGATTTTTAAGAGTTATTTAACGAACTGTCTGGAAAATATTTAATAAATTAGGAAAACAAAAAAGTTTTACACTGTATAATAGTTTAACAAAGTGAACTTTAAGCAGACAGCTGCTTAAAAATAAAACGTGACATCTACCTAGGGCTAACTATTCCCCAGAAAGATGTTTTGCTTTAACTTTACAACTGAAATCCTAACTACCACATGTTCTGCGCGTGAACAGTTATAACGGTAATATCAAAATAAGTACCTTGTATTGAACTGAGAGGGTTATTTGCATGCCAATCTTCCATAAAAATTTTTGTTTGTCTGTCTGTTACTATTCACCGAAAGCTTAACAATATGTGAGAAATATCAAAAGTTTTGAAATTGGTCTGCCTTCATCACATACGATAACAAAGTGGTACAGTACAATTTATGGCCGACTTGGCTACACAAAAAAAAAGCGTTAACTGTTTTAAAACTTAGACTAGAGAGTAACCCTGACAAGAAATTATATTGTATATTAGTGATAATGAAATGAAAATAAAACAATTGACGAAGTACCATGCAAGTTCTAAAAGGCATTTTGGTTATATACATAATGCCTTTGGCTACTAGCATGGTATTCTGTCAATTGCTTAATTTTCATTTCATCCATTACCAAGGTATAATAAAAAAAAATATCAGGGTTACTCTCCGCTCTCAATTTTAATGCCGTCAGAGCTTCTTGAGTAAAAGTTTTACGTACATAGCGATAGGCTTTTGGATAGTAATAGTTAAGTGTTAGGGCATAGTATTTCTTGGAACTTGTGAAGCCTGTTTATGCTATTGTTTTTATGTCAAAGCATTTTTTCATTCTAATTTTCCTTGGCCTAAGTGTTGGCTCGTACTCGCAGTGGGAGTAGGACTAGTTCGGGCTATATAAGGATTTTTTTTCGAATTGTGACTTTCGATTAAACTTATGGAATTTTGCCGTCACCATTATTTTGCAATCACCACGATCACCCTAAAATAAATAATTTTATTTTAGTCAGAAGATTCAAGCATATATATATATATATATATATATATATATATATATATATATATATATATATATATATGTATATATATGTGTGTGTGTGTGATAAAGATATTTATTTTGTAAAACATGAGTAAATAAAATACAAGTGTTAAAAAACTTAAAACGAGCTACATGTTTTGCCATTTATGGCGTACAAAAATTATACTACATTAAGTTTACAATTACAATAATAGGAGGATCTCTTGGAAATCTGTAATAATAAACCAATAATAGAAAAATTTACTATTTTTGTAATACTTTATTATAAAATCTAAATCAAAACTGCAAACCGGTTCGGCAGACAAACCCGCATGGTTAACTTATCGATAGCTAAAGTTGCGGCGTTCATCACTATAGTGCAATACTTTCAGTTGCAGTGATACCAGTTTGATTTATAAAAATTGCACACTTTTGCTGCGAGGTAGCAAGTTTCGATTTGACTTATTTGGCCTGTATTTTGTATAATATTTTAATAAATACTAGTTATCAATTATATTTAATTATATAATATTCAGTATCGTGTTAACATTGAGCTGAATATTTAAATCATTTAACAAAATCCACTACACATCTATATGTAATGATTATTATTCATTCCAAACTGATTTTGTTATTAGGAAAAATATTTTCGTTAATATATATAACTTGTGTAGTAAATTATATTTTT